CAATAAAGAGATTATTTGATATATTGTCTAAGTGGCCACGAAACTTAAGCCAAGGCCCAGCAGCTGATATATGATCAGTAGTACATTTGCCTTTGACCTTGATAAGTACGGTCATATCAATCAAATCATTACCGTCCCATTTATCAAACGGTTGAAGCAATTGCAAACGTTGACTTTTGGGATCAATATCCACATTTATACCGCTCCCATCAGCGGGTGGTTCTTTGTATGTGTCCACGCCGGGATCAAACCCCTTTGCAGGCAATTCTTCACCATGGGGTGCTTTTAACTTAAATTTTGAGCCGTCTTTACCTGTGAGTTCGTCTTTAATGGGATTGAAATCTAGACGGCCAGCGATGGATAACGCTGTTACAAGTTCTGGACTTGTCACGAATGCATGTGTAGCAGGATTGGCATCATTGCGTCCAGTAAAATTGCGATTATATGAGGTAACTATAGTGTTTTTCTCACCTTTTTTCACATCCTTGCGATCCCACTGTCCAATACAAGGACCACACGCATTTGCCAAAACCGTCCCACCAAAATCAGTTAGTACCTTAGATATACCATCTCGTTCTATTGTGGCACGTATCTGCTCTGAGCCAGGAGTTACATTGAATTTTATTTTTGATTTCAGGCCATGTGCCATTGCATCTTTAGCAATGCTGGCACAACGTCCCATGTCTTCATACGATGAATTGGTACATGATCCAATTAGGCCAACTTTAATATCCATTGGATAACCATTTTTTTTGGAATTCTCACCAAGCTTACTTATAGGGTGCGCCAGGTCTGGTGTGAACGGTCCATTGACATGAGGTTCCAGTTTGCTCAAATCGATTTCAATCAATTGATCATACTCAGCTTCTTTATCAGCCGAAAATAATGTATTTTTGTATTTTTCTGCTTCTTCGGCAATTTTAGCACGGCCTGTGGCTTTCAAATACTTACTCATACGATCATTAAAGGGAAACAACGATGTGGTGGCACCAATTTCTGCTCCCATATTACATATGGTACCCATCCCAGTGCAAGATATAGATTCAATTCCTTTTCCATGATATTCTATAATCGCACCTGTACCACCTTTCACTGTAAGTATGTCAGCTACTTTTAATATAACATCCTTTGGAGATGTCCAGCCGCTGAATTTGCCAGTTAAAAGTACGCCAATCACTAGTGGGCACTTAAGTTCCCAAGGAATATTGGCCATTACATCCACTGCATCAGCACCACCGACACCTATACATAAGCCACCCAGACCACCACCATTCGGTGTGTGTGAATCAGTGCCAATCATAAGCAGCCCTGGAAAGGCATAATTCTCTAAAATAATTTGATGTATAATGCCACTACCTGGCTTCCAGAAACCCAATCCATATTTTTCACAAGTACTTGCTAAGAATTTATATACCTCTGCATTCAAATCATTGGCGCGTTTTAAATCTTCTTTGGCTCCAACTTGTGCTTCAATCAAGTGATCACAGTGCACGGTAGATGGTACTGCAACTTTTTTCAACCCTGATGAAATGAACTGCAGCAAAGCCATTTGAGCTGTCGCATCTTGCATAGCCACACGATCAGGGCGGAGATTAAGATAGGAAACACCACGTTTAAGGTTTCCATCTTCTGGTTTATCCAAATGAGAGTAAAGTATTTTTTCAGAAAGTGTTAAAGGACGTTTCAATTGACTGTAAACTATATCCAATTTTTTTGAAAGGTTTTCATAAGGCAGATAAATATTCTTATCAAATTTTGAAATCTGTACTTTCTCTAACGTCATGGCACTGATGTGAAATTTACGATGAAAGATAATTTTGCATAACGTGGATTTCAAAAGTTGTAGCATTCTTAACTTGTCTAGGTGGATTGAATTAATTAAAAGATATAATAAATATATATTAAATATTAAAAGTGAAGAGAAAAAATGTAAAACTTTCATAATACAAAAATTTTTAAAAAAAAAATTTTTTAAATTTTGACATTACTTTGTCAAGAAAACATTTTTATTTAAAATTTTATAATCGAATATTATTTTGTTTCACTTGTCAAATTGACGATTGTCAAATTGACGAAATAATCTGCTTTATATAAAAAATTTAGAAATCGAAGGAACTTTAAAATATGTAGTAGGAAATACTGACATAGGTATATACCTACCATACTTCGTTATTTCACCACATTTAAGAAAATTTTGCTCCACATTCTGAAACTCTATGAACTGATAATCTTTTTAAAGGATAATTGTAGTTGAAGTGATTTCGAACTACCGGGCGATTTAATTTACAGATTTTGATGAATTTCGATGTGCTGAGAAACTTTTTCGAATAATTAAAATGTCAATATGAAATTGTTTTTAAGATGTCAGACTTTCTTGACTGATATTAAAATTATTTGTTGGCAGTGCTATTAGAGCAGTGTTGACACAATATAAAAATTATAAACGCCATCTGGCGGCAAGTAATGCATGCAATTTTGCATTGATTGCACAAATGACAATTAAGTAATCAGATGCCACATTGACTACTTGGTGTTATTTATGCAAATTTACGAGTGAATATATCTCTCTAAATAATATCTATAATATCTCTCGAAATAAGCTATATTCATACATAGAATAGTGGAAAAATTTGATTAAAATATTAACATTTACTAATAATTTTTCAGAATCATTCCTAATTATAATTTCGAGTATTCGGAGAATAGATCTTATTTTAGAAGGTAAGGTATTAACCTGTTAGGTTGATGCTAGCAATATACTTAGGCCTATTGTATTCTATTGTATTCTTGTATAAAATGTAAAGGGTTCAAAATCATTTCAAACTTTTAATGAAGCCCAACAAGAGGAGGCGTTTCAGACGAATCCTTTAACAAAAAAGTCTCTATAAATTATTAGCGAAACTTGTTTAATATTTTTAAAATTAATTTCACTGAATTGACTTTAATTTATTTGAATTAAAAAACTTTTCCATGAAAGTTCTTTGCTACCGAATAAAGTGCAATTCCATTATTTTAAATTTAAAGTTGAGTTCAACTTTCGGTGTGAATGAAATTTAATCATCAGTAACAAATCTCATTTAAAAATGAATGCTTCATATGAGTAAGTTTATTATTGCTCTAAAGTTACACGAGTATGCATAGATATAAATTTGTTCATATGCGAAGAGAAATCTAATGTGAAAAAATTGGTTTAGCAGTGCGAAGTCAAGAAAGAAATAAACTTGTAGTAAAAAATTTATGACATTTTATTTCCTGTATCCTATATCCTGTGTGCAAGTAAGTACTTATAGTCGTACTCAGGCAGTGTAAAAGGGTTAGCACATGAATAACGAAAAACATTGGTACTTGGTGGCGGTTAAGTTTTGACGATGATGACATGACCAAAAACGAACTTGAGGAAGAGTGACATAGTCTCACTCTAAACATGAAATGCGGAGTTATAAAATTCAAGTACATAAAATCTTAAACTTTATGACTTACTATATAAAAGTCAACATTAAATTTTGAGAGAGATTGTTGGATTAAAAATTTGAATCAAATAGTGTTGTAAGTTCAACGCTGAAACAACCTCACTTTATTCTACTAAAACTATATAGAAAGAAATGAAGAGCATAGATACATGTGAATTTAATAGTAATGAAAAGTAAGGATACTTCATATTGAGGGAGACTTATATCAGTCAAGGGGTAAGCGCCCAGATGTTCAGTACAATATGAAATGTGCTTCTCACTAACTTTTGCGAACGAGTTCATCGTAATCGCGACTGTGTAATGGAACGTCGATATAGATAATAATACTTCTGCAAGATGAAATTAAAGGTATTGTAATGGTTTATAGATTATTGTAGAAATTGGAGCTGCAGTAAGAGGATTCCATGAATATGATAACAGGCATTGATCCTCATTACTGCAAGTTTAATATCGCTTGGCAAGAGCCAACACATCAATAATTTCAGACTGCTTTCAGACTGGTACTGTAGTTGATGGTTGGATGAAATGGTGCCCGTAGCAAGTGATCACGACGTCGAATTGTATTGTTGGAATAAAATTTGCTGTGAGACTTGCGCTGTACTTGATGGTTAGTTCATTGGTTTTAGTGGCGGCAAAGCCTCCTTCGTAGTTTTTGTGAAATCTACTGTTGGAATTTCTTTGTGGGATTGTGTTGTGAACAGTTACGGAAAATTTTCCCATAGATGTATAAATTTTTTCTATTCAGACAATGCTGATGAATGATAATGAGGAGAAATATGAAAGGTGTATTTAAGATAAGATCGAATATATTGCTCAAAACAAAAAGATTTAACTTTGATTTAAGTTGATGCGAGATTGCGAAAGACATTTTTCGAAGCCAGTTGGCCTGAACATGACATTCTGATAT